ACGACTTCTACTGCCGTTTTGACGAGCCATCAGGCAGCCTTCACACCTCCAACGGCCCCAACAATAGAGACACTTTGGACACTAATTCCCCCACCTCTACCCCCTCCACAGAGCCATCACCACTTTCAAACCATCATATTCATGAAGCAGATGTGAGGAAACAGTTTAAGAACCTGAATGCTCGGAAAGCTCCCGGCCCAGACGGTGTGTCTCCTGCCACCCTCAGACACTGTGCAAACGAGCTGGCCCCAGTGTTTTCTGGCATTTTCAACTCCTCACTGCAGACATCTCATGTGCCTGCCTGCTTCAAGTCCTCTACCATAATCCCTGTCCCCAAGAAACCTAGGATCACTGGACTAAATGACTACAGACCCGTGGCTCTGACATCTGTGGTCATGAAGTCATTTGAGCGCCTGGTTCTCTCCCATCTCAAGACCCTCACGGCCCCCTCCTGGATCACCTGCAGTTTGCATACAGAGCCAACAGGTCTGTAGATGACGCAATCAACATGGCCCTACACTTCATCCTGCAGCATCTGGACTCCCCAGGAACCTACGCCAGGATCCTGTTTGTGGACTTCACCTCTGCCTTCAACACCATCCTTCCAGACCATCTCCAAGGCAAGCTTTCCCAGATGAATGTGCCTGATCCCATCTGCCGGTGGATCACTGACTTCCTGACGGACAGGAAGCAGCATGTGAGGCTGGGAAAGAATGTCTCGGACTCCCGGACCATCAGCACCGGCTCCCCTCAGGGCTGTGTTCTTTCTCCTCTGCTCTTCTCCCTGTACACCAACTGCTGCACCTCCACCCACCAGTCTGTCAAGCTAATCAAGTTTGCAGATGACACCACCGTTATTGGACTCATCTCGGACGGGGATGAGTCTGCCTACAGGAGGGAGGTTGAATGTCTGGTGTCCTGGTGCAGCCACAACGACCTGGTGCTGAATGCCGAGAAGACAGTGGAGATTATTGTGGACTTCAGGAAGCACACAGCTCCACTCCCCCCCATCATCCTGTCTGACACCCCCATCACCTCTGTGGACTCATTCCGCTTCCTGGGTATCACCATCACCCAGGACCTGAAGTGGGAGCCCACCATCACTTCCGTCATTAAGAAAGCCCAGCAGAGGATGTACTTCCTGAGGCAGCTGAAGAAATTCAACCTGCCAACACGGACGATGATGCAGTTCTACACTGCAATCATCGAGTCCATCCTCACCTCCTCCATCACCGTGTGGTACGCTGGAGCCACTATCAGGGACAAACAGAGAGTTGTGCGCTCTGCTGAGAAGGTGATTGGCTGCAGACTCCCATCTCTGCAGGACCAATACACCTCCAGGACACTGCGGCGTGCAGCTCGGATCACAGCTGACCCTTCTCACCCTGGATACAGTCTGTTTGACCTGCTCCCCTCAGGCAGGGGGCTCCACTCCATTCGCCCCAGAACCTCTCGCCATAAGAACAGTTTCTTGCCCTCTGCTGTTGGACACATGAACAATAAACATATGACTGTTCCCACCACTAACACATGACCCTACGCTGTGTCACTGCATCATCCCATGTTTGGCACTGATCACCACCTGCACTCATGTATATATCATGTATATATCTTTCTACTTAGCACTTTTAATTCTTATTCTTATTTTTATATTTTTACGACAGTATGTTTGCACTGAAGCACCGCAGCAATTTCCTAATGTTGTAAACCTGCTCAACATTTGGCAATAAAACCCTTTCTGATTCTGAGTACTGGTTTGGGCTGGTATCATCAAAGATGAGCTTGTGGGGCCTTTTCGGGTTGAGGATGGAGTCAAGCTCAACTCCCAGTCCTACTGCCAGTTTCTGGAAGACACCTTCTTCAAGCAGTGGTACAGGAAGAAGTCTGCATCCTTCAAGAAAAACATGATTTTCATGCAGGACAATGCTCCATCACACGCGTCCAAGTACTCCACAGCGTGGCTGGCAAGAAAGGGTATAAAAGAAGAAAAACTAATGACATGGCCTCCTTGTTCATCTGATCATCGAGAACCTGTGGTCCATCATCAAATGTGAGATTTACAAGGAGGGAAAACAGTACACCTCTCTGAACAGTGTCTGGGAGGCTGTGGTTGCTGCTGCACGCAATGTTGATGGTGAACAGATCAAAACACTGACAGAATCCATGGATGGCAGGCTTTTGAGTGTCCTTGCAAAGAAAGGTGGCTATATTGGTCGCTGATTTGTTTTTGTTTTGTTTTTGAATGTCAGAAATGTATATTTGTGAATGTGGAGATGTTATATTGGTGTCACTGGTAAAAATAAATAATTGAAATGGGTATATATTTGTTTTTTGTTGAGTTGCCTAATAATTCTGCACAGTAATAGTCACCTGCACACACAGATATCCCCCTAAAATAGCTAAAACTAAAACAATCTAAAAACTACTTCCAAAAACATTCAGCTTTGATATTAATGAGTTTTTTGGGTTCATTGAGAACATGGTTGTTGTTCAATAATAAAATTATTCCTCAAAAATACAACTTGCCTAATAATTCTGCACTCCCTGTATTTAAAACTTTTTGAATAGTTTTTTAGTTTCAAAAACAACTAAAAAATTTTGTTTCCTATGTGATCCTTCATAAAACATCACATATTTTCCAACATAATTCAGGGTTTGGTTTGGTCTAAGTAAGCAGAGAAGTCCAGCCATCGCCTTGTAATCAGAAGGTTGCCGATTCGAGCCCCGGCTTGGACAGTCTCGGTCGTTGTGTCCTTGGGCGAGACACTTCACCCGTTGCCTACTGGTGGTGGTCAGAGGGCCCGGTGGCGCCAGTGTCCGGCAGCCTCGCCTCTGTCAGTGCGCCCCAGGGTGGCTGTGGCTACAATGTAGCTGCCATCACCAGTGTGTGAATGGGTGGATGACTGGATATGTTAAGCGCTTTGGGGTCCTTAGGGACTAGTAAAGCGCTATATAAATACAGGCCATTTACCATATAATCTGTAATAAAATAGTGAACAGATTTCTGATATAATATAATATCACATCATGAAATTTTCTAAATAGCGACATTCACTTAATTTCAACATTTTCCCTTTTCTTTATAACTCATGAGGATCATATCTTTATAACTCTTTTTGAACTGCTTTATGTTTGGATTTTGCTTCAACTTCATCTTCAAACTGTTCCACAGCTTCACTCCACACACAGAAACACAAAAGCTTTTTCCTGTTGCACGTACCTTCCCTGTTTTGAAGTTACAAAAACCCCTTAAATTATAACTTACTCCTTTAAAAAAATCATACTCTGAATATAATCTGGCAGTTCCTCATTTTTTATGCTTTGAATAGAATTTGTGCTGTTTGGAATTTCACTATATCAGCAAATTTCAATATTTCAGACTGCAAAAATAGTGAGTTTGTATGTTCCCTATAACCTGCATTGTGGATGATTCGAACTGCTTTTTTGTTGAAGAGTAAAAAGTGAAAGTAATGTGGTTTAATAGTTGTTGCCCCAGACCTCTGCACAAAAGCTTAAGTATGGTGAAACCGGTGAACAGTAGAGAATATGAAGTGATGTCCCGTGTGATACCTGCTTTGCCTTGTTTAGTACTGCAATGCTTCGTGATACTTTGGAATGAATATATCTTACGTGAGCACTCCAGTTTTTCATCTATTATTACCCCCAGAAATTTATTTTCACTGACTCTTTCAATATCAACACCATCCATCCATCTTCATCCACTTTATCCGAGGCCGGGTCGCGGGGGCAGCAGGCTAAGCAGAAAGGCCCAGACCTCCCTCTCCCCAGCCACCTCCTCCAGCTTATCCGGGGGAACACCAAAGCGTTCCCAGGCCAGCCGAGAGATATAATCTCTCCAGCGTGTCCTGGGTCTGCCTGCTGGGCATTCCCAGTTATGTAAAAATAGAAAACAATGATCCACGCTGCAGTTTCACACCTTGCATTTCCATCCACTGGGACAAATTGGACCCTTTGCCATCCTACTTATGGGGGATTTTAATATTATTTAAATAAACTGCCAAACGTTTTTTGAATTTGCCCTAAAATAAAGTCATTAAAAAAATTTCCACTTGGAGTTAAAGTGGACATTAAACACCACGTGTATAAAGATTAATTTGCACCATGAAGCCCTGCTCTCACAAACTTGCATAGATGTAACATTGTCTGTGAAGTTAGATTTAAGAGAGAAGTCCTTGACGTTTTTACAACAGAACGTGACGTCATCAGGTTGGTGGGTTGGCTGCAGCTCATAGACTTACATTATATTAGAAAACCAGTGAACCTCAGTGGAAAACAAGATTAAAACTAACAAGTCTAAGGGGGGTCACTTTGGTACTCCCCCTGGCTACAGCAAAGAGTTTCATGTTAAGAAAACAAAGATGTACTGTCCACTTTCACTCTGTGTCTCCTAAACAGTCAGTGTTTCCTCGTTGTTTGGCTAGCTGTGAAACGGGAAAATCCACCTGTTGGCTGTAATGTTAATGCAGGTGGCAGCAGGGAAAGTGGATATTTGTTATTCAACATGCGTCTGAGCTTATATTGACATCATAGGAGGTCAATTCTGTCGTGGAAGTAGGTTTCCATCTAAGTTAATGTCAGCTGTGACAGTTCTAACAGTTGTGCTGCTTGTTGTAGATCAGAAATAAATATAAACAGCTTATATTAAGTTGTGCCCAGTAGCTCAGCAGATACTCTAAAGCTCATGATGTAATGAGGAAAAGAAAACAGGCTGATATCCAGATTGACGTTTTGGAAACTGATTTTGCTTCTGCAGCATCCTGTGTGCAATCCTGTTAGAATATGTCTGATCAGGGCGATGGTTGGATCCTGTTAAATACCCCAATTCTTTGATCTTTGGGCTGAAAGAAGAACAACACTTGGTGTTTAATGCTCAATCAACAATCTCTTTATACCATACAACCCTTTAGGCATAAACGTCTGGATGGGAGATTTGCACAGGAGGTGGAGTTTTCCATCTACCCAGCTCCCCAAGTGTCCACTGCTGTGGTTGAGCCATACAACTCCATCCTGACCACCCACACCACCCTAGAGCACTCTGACTGTGCCTTCATGGTAGATAACGAGGCAATCTATGACATCTGCCGTAGGAACCTCGATATCGAGCGTCCTTCCTACACCAACCTGAACAGGTTGATCAGCCAGATTGTGTCCTTCATCACTACTTCGCTCCGCTTTGATGGCGCCCTCAATGTTGATCTGACAGAGTTCCAGACCAACTTGGTGCCCTACCCTCGTATCCATTTCCCCCTGGCCACCTACGCCCCCGTCATCTCTGCAGAGAAAGCTTATCACGAGCAGTTAACTGTATCAGAAATCACAAACGCTTGCTTCGAGCCAGCCAATCAGATGGTGAAATGTGACCCTCGCCACGGCAAGTACATGGCCTGCTGCCTTTTGTACCGTGGCGATGTGGTGCCCAAAGATGTCAACGCTGCCATTGCTACCATCAAAACCAAGCGCACCATCCAGTTCGTGGACTGGTGCCCCACCGGTTTCAAGGTCGGCATCAACTACCAGCCACCCACTGTGGTTCCTGGTGGAGACCTGGCCAACGTCCAGAGGGCTGTGTGTATGCTGAGCAACACCACCGCCATCGCTGAGGCTTGGGCACGACTTGACCACAAGTTTGACTTGATGTACGCCAAGCGTGCATTTGTTCACTGGTATGTGGGTGAGGGAATGGAGGAGGGTGAGTTTTCTGAGGCTAGAGAGGACATGGCAGCTCTAGAGAAGGATTATGAAGAGGTTGGAGTTGACTCTGTTGATTGGGAGGGAGATGAGGAAGGTGAGGAGTAGGTTTATTGCAATGAAATCATCAAAGTTATGCGAGTTCGCTCAGAAGCACTGTTACGTTGTTCTACCAAATCTTGTTACACATTCCTGTGTATATTTTTCAACTTTAAATAAATGTGTTTGAAAATGTGTTTTAATGCTATGTGAGAGTGTAACATGGAGACATGACCACTTTGTTTTGTAGTTCTGTTCTTTCAATATCAGCACTTTCTTTTATTAAGGTGCTGCTTAATAAAGAGTACATGAGCTGTTTAATCACTGGTATGCTTAATTTTAACCCTCCAAAATCTAGAAAAGAAAGTTAACCGCTAGGTTAATTCTGAATAAAGTAAAATAACGTAAATAAATTACAAATATAATAATTTAACATTATAATAACTAAAAGCGACATTTTTAGTGAATCTATATCTTTCTTAACCCCCCTAGTTCACAAAGCCTTAAAGTTTACTCTTCGGGCGCCCCTCATCCCCCGTTTTTTTCCGCCAAAATTATCCACACCCACTGCCGCGCTGAGCATTCTGGGATATGTTGGGCCACAAAGTCTACACCGCCACATCCTTAAAATTCAGGGAAATGAAGGACGCATTTGAGGGCCGGATTTCGAGCAGCCTTCGAAGTGGGACAGCCTTCGTCGCGTCGCTGTGACGTAATCGGCCTTAAAATGCGGCCTTTAAGGCTGCAGACCCTGAATTAGGATACAGCCATAGCCTAACATATGAAACAGGAAAAGACGGCCGTGTAATCCCTTTATTTCCCTTGAGAGAGAAATGGATCTGAAACCACAGAAATCAGAGTGTTTGCAGAGTGCAGACACACAGATAATGAAGACATGCTGCTCGGAAATGTTAGATACAGATAAAAAAGGAGTGTGTGTGTGTGTGTGTGTGTGTGTGTGTGTGTGTACTGAGCCAAGATTGCAAAACACTTTACAGTTATTTATTTGTAAAAAATGTTTGGAATCGTATGATTTTTGTTCCACTTCTCACATGTTTACCACTTTGTGTTGGTCTTTCACGTGGAATTCCAATAAAATTGATTCATGTTTGCGGCTGTAATGTGACAAAATGTGGAAAAGTTTAAGGGGGCCGAACACTTTTGCAAGCCACTGTAAAGAACTTGGAAAGAAAAACTTCTGGCATCCAGATGTTTTTCTTCTCCATAAAGGTGTATTTAAAAAAAGCACAGCAAATTATAATATTACAGCAGATGTGTGACCTTAAAGGTTTCTGGCTGAAAAAAGGTCACTGATCAAACTGATTCTTGCTCACAAAAAACATTTTAATCAGATTCTCTGCAGGAAAATTTGAAAACATTTCCTCATAACTTCTCAGTATTCACTTATCAGCATTCAGTCAAACGTTCATTTACGGGTGTAGTTACTGCTAATAACTGACTTTCCACAGCAGTTGTTTGGTCGGACACAGTGAGAGATGTAATCTGTTACTCTTCATGTGAGAAAGAAGGTGTCTCTGAGATGTACTAATAGTGTGTTAGTTCCAAATAGTAAATTAGTGAATGTATTTCATGGCAGTTTGATTATTCTGGGACAAACAGTGCAGTCTTCCTCAAAGCATCACTGTGAATGTAATCATATAATGTTAAAAATATAATAACAGTCTTTTTATTATTGGTCAATGAAATAAATAAATCCTCTTTATTATCAGAGTGAAAACAGACTTCCACAAACGAACGTCAACTGATGACTCCATAAATATTCAGCCATTCAAAGGTGACTGACCTGCTTCAACAGCCAAAATCACATATTTCTGGAAGGTCCACTCACTGGTTATTCAGCATGCCAGGCTGCCGTTACACCATGCAGACAAAAGAGCACTCGGAGCAAGTTAAAGGAAAGTTTATTCAAAAGTAGCAGTCTGGGAATGGAGACAGAGGAGTTCACTTAAATCTGTCACTATGAAACGGAAGCAATCAAATCTGCCTAAATCTGACACTCAAAGGTAAACTGGATACCTGGCTGACCATCACGTTCACGACCAGGTGAGGACGGATCAAAGATCAGGAGTCGATTTCAGGCTTGGGCTTGCTTTCATCATATTAGTCCAATCCAATCCAACTTTATTTATAGAGTACGTTAAAACCAACATGGTTGAATAAAGTGCTTTCCATCACAAAAACTGAGATAAAAGTTAAAAAAAACATAAACAGACAAAGAAAGTGAAATAACAATAAAATAAATACATAAATGAAAAAAGGATTTCAAAATTAAATCCTTAAATATATTAAATATTAAAACTAGTGCTGTCAGCGTTAATCTCATTAAAATGACGTTAACGCCACGCGGCAAATCTCCGTTAGTGAATTACAGTTTTTTACAGACGCTAGGACACATGTCTCAATACTTAGGTCACGTTTGCAAAACTCCTCACACAGTGAGCACAACAGAAGTCTATGTGGGCTAAACTGAGGATCAGTTATCATTGTTTTGGCACAAAATGCATTCAATGACTACATCTCTCAAATTTCATGAATCATCTTCTCACTCAGACACAACAACTGCCAAAAATCTTTGTACGGACAGGACATTTTGCATGTGCTTACATACTGTTTTCAAAACTGTTAAACTCATGGTCAAAACAATAACACAATGCAAAACTTGAAAAGACAGCAAAATCCAACAGCAATATTTTATTGACACATATTTTAAATCTAAAAATGCAGTTTAACCAGCCACAGCTGATTCTCATTGTGGATGAACATCTACACAGGTGTTACTCCTTCAATTTTTCAACTCCTTCAATTCTGGCAGCCAGAAGATTCTTTCCTAGGTGTATTGCCCTAGATGACATAAGATGTGATGTGGATGACAACCTGTGGCCAAATGGAGAAGACCGAGTAGATTAGCATTACTATTGTATGTGTATCAGTGGATGGTGTGTATACAAATACTTGTATTTTGGGATTTCGTAGTGCAAGAAAATAAAAATACATAAACAAATATTACCGAAGTCTGCATGATGTCTGATTCATTCCAGTAACATATATTGAAATTATGAACAGAGATGTGTCCTTGTTTTACACAGGAAAACACTGTGTCATGCTACATGTTGTTAGTGTTTTTTAGGTCATTGTTTTGTGGGTGACAAAGTGTGTTTGTTGGCTGTCAACCTTTGCTAGTGTTCTGGAGGAATGTGTTTATTTGACACCTGAATGAAGTGTTTTGGTAGTTGTAGTGCATTTTGAATGTGAAATGAACTGCTTTGCCAAGCTGAGGGTCAGTTAGGAGAATTGTGTGAAGAGTTTTGCACAAGTGACCTAAGTATTGAGAAATGTGCCCTAGCGTCTGTAAAAAACTGTAACGCAGATCGTGTGGTTGTTTGCTGACAACAAAAAAACATCAAAGGAGAAAAGTTGCATCTAAGAACACGTTTTTTTCTTACTGATGCTCATTAGTGAAACACAAAGACATTAGACAAAAATGAAACTTTAGACCCTCTCCTCCCCCAACAGAAGTCAAAGGGATCTTCCAGGAATAGTGACACTATTTTCTGGAGGATTGATTGGTCAGTACGTCGTGATTTCATACCTGCTGATCTCTAATCTGGAACCTAACCAGCACCAGCAGAGTAAAAGACACTAAACAGCTAAATTGAATCAAGCATAAAAACATTTTAGGCATTAGTGATGGGTCGTTCGCGAACGAAATGGCTCTTAGAGCCGGCTCTTTGACGTGAACGACGCGAGCCGGCTCCTTATCGCGAGCCGTCACGTGGGTTTTTTTTTTTTTTTCTTTCTCTCAGCCTCTCTCTCGCACTTTTTTTCCGCTTCACTCTGCACGCGAGCCTTGTGCTTTACGCTGGGCAGAGGGGGAGGGGCGGTAGTTACACTCAGTAGCACAGGAACAGAGCCAGAGAGAGAGAAAGAGAGGCAGGGACAACAACATTAGAAAGGTATAGTAATCATCCACAACTATTTTCGGTTGCAGATGATAAAGGATTGAGAAAGTTTATTCATGCAGGTGAATATGCATGTTCTTTTAGTTTTCATATTATAATTTATATTTAATTGTGTTGTGGTTTGCAGTGTTTTGTGTTCTTTTCACTTTAAATTTGTGAAAGGAAAAAGCTGAAAATTTAAATAGTTAAAACTTGAAATGTGAATAGTTGATTTTTGTATTATATGATTTATTTATTACATTTTATGTGGAGTGAATAAATAAAAGTATATTTACGGTGGCCCCTAGAGACAAAGCACATACAAACTTCAAATCACGTACGAACTCTGAAGCATGTACAAACTCCAAAACACGTAAAAACACGTACAAACTCCAAAACACGTAAAAACTCCAAAAACACGTAAAAACACGTACAAACTCCGAAGCACGTAAAAACTCAGAAGCATATAAAAACTCAGAAGCACATAAAAACTCAAAACACGTACAAAAGACAACAGAAGTGCTGCAGGATGCTGGGCGCAGTGTTGAGCCTTTGTTATCTTGTGGCTACACAAGCCAGCAAGTACCAACGACCGGATTTGGTGTGTGGTAATAACAGGTAAATGAACTTTTTTTTTAATTATTTGAATATATATATGAGTGCCTGTGTATAAATACACAAACAATACACACATGCTTTCAATTGTGTAATTTAAGTGATCTAGTAGCTCTGCTTTGGAAGTTCAGTTCATGCTAGAAATGTGTTTTGGAGTTTGTACGTGTTTTGTCTCTAGGGGCCACCGCATATATTTATATATAAACATATATAAATAAAACCACTTGTTTTTACGTTAGTAATTCCTTTTGTGCATAATTTTATATTATTGTTAATAATAAATTAATTAAAGCAACAAAACAACCTGAAGATCCGGTTCGGAGCCGAAAGAGCCGGCTCTTTTTAGTGAGCCGAACCGAAAGAGCCGGATCTCTAAAAAGAGCCGGAAATCCCATCACTATTAGGCATCAAGACAAGTCATATTATCTGTGAATTTCCCTTTTTTTGACTGGTCAGATGCTGCCAACGCCTCCCTTTCCTTGTGAAGGTGCATGA